GATGATGAAGAAGAAGAGGAGGAGGAGGGCAATACGAAGTCGAAACCGATTCCCGCGAAGAATGCGGAATTGGGAAGTGAAGGTGGTAAAGTTACAAAAGAGGAATTGCAGAGCAATGACTCCGAGAAGAAGATTGTGAAGGAAGTGAATTCCGCGGAGGAATTGCGAGGTGAAAGTTCTCTAGGTGTTGATGAGAAGGGGAAGAAGAATTCTAATATGGATGATAATGAGAACAACAAAGGGAATGATGGGGAAAATTCTAAACAGGAGAGGAATTTGGAAGGAGATTCTGAGAAAAAATCGGTATTGAAATCTGACGAGAAAGTGGCTTCAGAGGGGAAGGTAGAGCCTGGTGAATCTTCTAAGGATAGTGATGTCACAGATTCAGTGCCTGTCCCTGAAGAGGAAGACCTTGGATGGGATGAGATTGAGGATCTTAGTAGTATTGATGAAAAGAAGGTGACTCATAGTGGAAGTCCGAACAGAGCAGAGCTAAGGAAGCGGCTTAGTGCTGTGGAAGAAGAGGCGGATTTGAGTTGGGATATTGAAGATGATGATGACGATAAACCAACTAAAGGTTGAAACTTTATTGAACGGTTAAGTTTTTATTTTTAAGTGTACTGGTCTCAGTTAAACTTCCCTCCACAGTTGTTTTTATGTAATGGAGTATAATACGGTTGGAGGGTCTTCTTCTTTTCTTTTCTTTTTCTTGCATCAGTTGATTCAAATGCAAATATGTTTCTGTGATCATGTAATGTCAATTTGTGAAGTTAAAAGAAACTCTGTCATTGATGACGTTTCTCTGTTTTTCTTTGTTGTTATTGCTCACTATTCATGTGCAGATTTTTGCATTGATTTGTTTCCGGCATGTGATTTTATTATTTGCAACACCATTAAGAATTCATTACTTTCAAGTTTCAACACGAGGTAGTCTTTAAGTTTTCATGCTTCAATATCGAATCATTTCATTTGGACTAAAACTTCAATGACCAAAAAGCATAATTACATTCTTTACCAAAGGTTTCGTAATTATTCAATAATAGATTTCCGTTTTTTTGGTTTTCTTTTAAGACTTGTATCCAAATACAGAACATTCTCATTTAGATCAATTATCATCAACTATCCTTGTTCTTTTATGCATCAATAATTCATCGCTTGCAAGTTTCAACCTGAGATGTTCTTGATTTTTATACTTTAATGTCCAATAATTTCACTAAAGCCTCACTCTTTCTAACTGTTTCTGGCCCTTTTATCTTTTAAGCTGGTAATAGAGTAGGGCGATCAAATTATAGTTGAAGACATTATTTGTCAGCTTTTTGAGAGTGCTTCTCTAATAGATAGTGAACATGATGGTCAACTTCATATCCTCCGGACTAAATTCAAAGGGTAATCACAGTTCCTATTCAGAAAAATCATAAAGGACAGAGAGAATATCTACATAGGCCCATATAAGCAG